CCAAATTAATATAAACTATTATAAAACATATGGAACTGATGACTCAGCAGACAATGTCAGTCTGCGCTCATTCAATTGGATTATGATGGGGATAAACAACGCCACGTGCAGCTTTCTTCGACACCACACCCAGTCAAGAACACGGAAGCACCGCACGATTCAAATTAACTTCATATCAACAATGAACATCAACAAACTTGGCGAAGCACGTACAAAGCGAAGTGCAAAATAAAGGTATACTTACTGGGAGACATCATCACACTGCTCGCCGAGTTCCGTCGATAGAGAGGCCATGTTCAATACATATATATCCTTGTCGGTTAACTATCAACAATATTTTTGAGATGAAATAAGCAAAACTGGAATTTGTTGTTGAGTTGGCGTGTTTCGGTTTTCCTTTTCCACCATTTAAAATCACGTCAGTTGCGTTTTATCGCTTGGCGCTGCTCTTCTCATGTAGGGGATTTCTGACGTCTTAGCAGCTCGATAATGACTATGGTCACATTCACGTGATTTGCGTATTTTTAGAAAAAAATTGCACAATGTTTTAAGGACGAAAAATATCAGCGAAAATTGAATTGACGATGCGAAAATCGTCGAAATGAGTCGCCGCCATTTTGATTTGTTATGATGACGTCTAGAATAAGTCTCGCGAGAGTTTGCGAGAACAAGCTGGCAATTATAAACCACGCCCTCGCTACGTTTTGTAAAAACTTGGGAATAAATAAACAAACAACAGGCACATAATAAATGTAACGCCTTCGTGTACTTATGCAGGAAATAACATTTTATTATTCATGTTGTATTACATGTGACGCAGCGGTGAATCTGAGACAGTCTCAACATCTTTTATTACGATAAATATTCTTCTCTGTTAAATACACACAAAAAGTAGTTTTGAATGGGCCGTAATGAAAATAACAACTCAAAATTAATGTTTACAAATAATAGAATGCCATTAAATGTGCTATTATTAAATATTGTACATAATTGTCAAACTATCGTATTACTTATATAATTATTCATTTAAACTCTTCTTTTAAGCAATCCATTGAACCATGTATTGGAATGTTGATTTCTGTAATGAAATACAACTCAATTTCGAGTTTATTGTAATTTTGCATAACATGCGATTTCTAATATAATGGAATTTGTTGACACAGTCTTATACTAGTTTGGGTTTCTTTATTCACACATAACAGTGGCGGCGTCATCATGAGACGATGTAATTAAGAATAATTCAGGTGTGCACAAGTTACAGAATTTATCCAACTTGTGATAACAATATCGAGTTGGTTGGTGATGGTGTGGTCTTGGCAAGATAACATGATAGCGCCCTCACCGATATATCAAACGTAACAAGATGACACTATCGGCGAAGGTGCTTATCATAAAAAAAGAAAATAGTGCAAGCTGCTCGCACCGACAATATATTGAAAATGGTAGTAGGTAATCGTAGTCATTGACAATTATTCAATATCTCCAGACTTTTAGGGCAATGACCTTTTATGAGTAGTATCTTTTAGGCGATTTTACCAGTGACGCTAGCGATATCACCAACGATATTACATGTTTGCTACTGGTTGTAGATATGAAAAAAATGCACTTACCGCGGTGTGCAAACACCCCCGACAACGCCTAGAAACGATATTCAACGAACACAATCACGTCACTTTGATAAATTTGACAATTGTTGTATAACTCGTCTGAATTTGGGAGATTATCATGTTATTTTGAGGTTATAAAAACAATTCTCATTAGTTCTGAAGTTTTATTTGTTTACATTACGCATTAACGATAGCCCATTAAAAATCTGGAAAAATGGTAAATCATCATGCTGTATTCCCTACTCGCTGTGATTGTTTACGTGCACTGTGGACATGAACATCCCGCCAGATCGTCAGTTTTCGCGACTCGAGTACATATGAAAAGTGGAAGTATCAGACTGTACATACATTTTGAGTTTCAGCATTCATAGGAGTGCACTCCTCTTGATGCTTAGCAGACATAGTTATCATTAAAGCCACTCTTTAAACAACAGTATTTTTATGAGGTAATCTAATGTTTCTTGCCTTCCAAAACAACGTTTTAAGAACTTTCGACATTACAAAGTACATGTAACTTCACGAATTTGCAGAAAACATCGCCTCCTTTGTAAGCTAATTTTCGGACTTTTAAATTAACTTTTTGCTTTTCCTTGTCTGCAGTTCAGACTTCCCGGACAACTTTGACATCTTCCGAATAAACTTCGGAACGATCCCTCGTAAGACATATGTTGTAGGCACTGACCTTTCCTGAGGTTCCAAACAACTGTCCATACAACTTCCAGTTCAGTTTTCCCGACAGCCGATTCGACTTGCAATACAACTTTTCCACATTTTTTTTCTGACTTCGCATACCATTTTCCGTCATATTAGACAAATGCAAATAGAAACCGTATACGAAGATGATTCGGAGATGGCAAAACACGAAGAAATTGTCAAATTCTTCAAATTTTGAATATGTATTTAATGACGGCAACATTATTTTTAAAATTATGTTTTAGGCAATTTATTATAATCATTGATTCCTGATGCATGCAAAATACAGTAAAATGTTCTCTATTTGTTGGTGTATTCGTCCAGTAAATATAAAATATGTCTGAGGTAGGTAAGGTTTTGGTTGCGATCGTATCTTTAAAGCGACTCTAGAGCCTCTGCCCACATTAGAGTGACACCACACTGATCATTATCACAATTCCCGACTAATAATATGAGGTTATTACGAAGATACCTCAAAGTAAGCTCGAAAACAGTACGGGGGGGGGG